AGTGAAGGCAACGGGGTTGTTTTCAAGACTGCATCAGGAGAGTTGGTGCCCAGTCAGGGCATTGGAACCTTTGAAGGGTTCGATGAGAGCGACAACAAATGCCGCGTGAAAGGCTCAATGGCCGATGTTCACAAGCCATTGATTTCAGCATCCAAGTGCTTAGGCTTTGGAAGGATTGCAGTTCTTGATGTGAATGGCGGAAACTTGATTCCGCAAGGGTCCAAAGTTGGAAAGGCTGTTCAGGCGATCCTGGAGAAAGCGAGCGCTGTAGAGCAGCGAAGTTGGATCCCTGTGTATCAAGAGCAGGGAGTGTACAATTTCTACTTGAGAAAGCCAGGGTATAAACCGACCAAGGAATGCTGTGGCATTGCAGAGTTGAATGCCGCAGGAGAAAGAGGAGATGCTTCTATGGATTCAGGCCGACCTGGTCCAGAGAGGCAGGAAGAAGATGATGAGTTGGAATTAGTTGATGAGGTTGAGAAACCCATCCAGATAAGAGCACCGGAGGATCCAACTCCGGCTGAGATCGAAGAGCACGAGGCGACAGGCCATGTGCAGTATCGAAATTGGTGCCGGCATTGCATTGCCGGACGGGCTGTAGGACAGCCGCATCGGACGAGGTCCGAGGAGCAGAAGGCAAAGAGCCTTGTGCCCACAGTGGCAATGGACTACACGTTCATGTCACGGGGCGGTGTGGAGGACGAGCGAGTAAAGCCGATCCTCGTGGTGAAAGATGAGAGGACACAGTCCTTAGCGGCGACCTTCGTGGATTCGAAGGGAGCAACGCCGTATGCAGTGAAGTTCGTGGCGAACTTCTTGAAGAACTTGGGACACCGCAAGGTGGTTCTCAAGTCGGATGGTGAGCCATCCGTGGTAGCTTTGAAAGAAGCGGCAGCGAAAGAAACCGGCATAGACTGGGTTTCGGAAGAGTCGCCAGTAGGAGACCATCAAGCGAATGGTCTGGCAGAGAACGCCTGCAAGGAGGTCCAACGTCAAGTACGAGTCCTCCGCAGCGCGTTGGAAGAGAAGCTCGGTAGAGAGCTCAAAGATGATGATCCTGCATTGACATGGCTGCCAAGGCAGGCGGGAGACCTGTTGAGCAGGTACAAGAAAGGTCAAGATGGCAGAACGCCTGAGGCCAGAAGATGTGGAAAGCAGTGGCGGAAGCCCGCCATAGCTTTTGGTGAACGCCTATACTTTAGAGAAGTAGGCGAGGGAGTTCGCATCCTGAAAGAAGGACGCTATGTAGGTCACCATGGCCGAACAGGGTCCATCTTGGTAATGACGGCCGATGGCGTGCGCAGAGGCACAGGAATCCGGCGGCTGAGTTCAGCCGACCGCTGGGACCCAAGCGATTGGGACCTTTTGCGGGGCTTACCGTGGGAGCACTCCGCGGCAAGGCCTGCCGGTGAGCAGTTGATGCTCGGAGAACGTCTTGTGGTACCACCTCCCAAGGAGGAACGAGTGGCGCCACCACAGCAGGTGTACATCAGGAGAGAGGATGTGCACAAGCATGGAGCCACAGAAGGCTGCCCAGGATGCAAGTGCATCTTGGAAGACAAGAGGACGACCTCGCCGCACACAGAGGCGTGCAGAGCAAGGATCACCGAAGCAATGGAAAAGGATGAAGCTGGGCAAGCGAGACTTGAAGCCCATGCAAAGAAGAGGAAAGAACGGCAACAGCTTGACACTGTGAAGCCGAAAGTCGTGGCCGACAAGGACACCGACATCACGGCCGAAGACGCGGCCGGAGAACCAGAGAAGAAAGAAGAAGCAAAGAGCGCAGGATCGGGAAGCCCGCCGCCAACAGCGGCAGAGGGTGAGAAGACCTATCCCGATGACCCGAAAGAGAGATATGAGATGAAGAGGCAAGCAGCCGAGATAGAGAAGAAACCAGTGGCGAAAGCCAAGGTAGCAACAGAGCCCAAGAAGAGAACAGGAGAACTTAGGATAGATCCACCCGGGGCAAAGGTCAAGCCGAATCCAGCCCAAGGAACAAAGAGGACGGCAGAGACTGCTGTCGAAGACCTAGATCCCAGAGTGGAAGAGAGTCCAAAGAAAACGTCTCAGTTTTCACATGTTCCAGAAACACCACCAGCAGGGTGGAAGCCAGATGCAGCAAGCTTGGTAAAAGAGAAGGAGATCGCAAAGCAGCATCTGAAGAAGATCATTCAAGGAACCTATGAGGCGAATGGCGTCGAGATCACTGAGCAAGAGATCGGAGACATCGCGCATTTGAGTATGCAGATGTCAGCAGTAGATGTCATGGAAATTACTCGCCCAAAAGGTTCACCGCTCTTGCAGAGCGGTATAAGTTGCGACCGGGATTCGCGGTCGACTTGAATGAAATGAAAAGTGATGGAACATACTGGGACTTGAACAAGTCAGAGGATGTTCAAGAGGTGCACGACATCCTCGAGAGGGACGAACCTGCTCTCCTAACTGGTTCGCCTCCGTGCCATATGTTTTCACAGCTCCAGAATCTGAACTGGAGAAACATGGCGCCGGATGTCAGGAGGAGGAAAATGGACGAAGCCGTCCATCATCTTCATACGAGCGTAGAGCTGTATGTCAAGCAGCATCGCTCAGGGAGAAAATTCCTCCACGAGGCACCATGGGCCGCAACCAGCTGGAAGGATGAGAAGGTTGAGGCCTTAGCAGAAGAAGATGGTGTGTTTGTGGTGAAAGGTCCAATGTGCAGGTGGCAGATGATGGCCACCGACCGAAGAGGACTCCAAGGCACTGGCTATGTGAGAAAGGAGACCGGTTGGATGACCAACGATGAAGGGTTGGCTCGAGTCCTGCAAGGAGTCTGCTCGAATGAATCGGGCAAAGGACCATGGCACCGACACATCCATCTGATCGGAGGCAGTGCTAGGCAGGCAGCGGTATACCCACCGCAGCTTGTGAAAGCAGTGCTGAGGAGCCTGCGTGACACGCTAGCAGAGAAAGGTGAGTTGAACACCTTCGATCTGTTCGCAGCAGGCCCAGTTCCAGAGATGCCTCTCATGGACCCAGAGTTCGAAGAGGTCTACATGGATGATGTGAATGGCGGCATTTTGCCAGCCGAGAAGGTAAAAGAGGCAAGACGCCTTGAAATGGACTATTTGAAAGAGAAGCACGGCGTTTATGTGCCTCGGCCGAGAGCCGAATGTTTTAGGGAAAGCCGAATGTTTTGAGGAAACGGGGAAGCCCCCGATTCCAGTCAGATGGTTGGACACCAACAAGGGAGATCCAACAAACCCGAACTACAGGAGCCGATTAGTTGTGCGTGAGATAAAGGCAAGAAAGACCAAAGAAGAACAATTGCCAGCCAACTTGCTTTTCAGCAGCACGCCCCCACTGGAGGCGATGAGACTGCTGTGCTCGTTGTGGGCAACAAAGAGAAAGTCCTGCCACAACCAGCCGCTGAAGCTGGGCTTGTGGGACATCTCACGAGCACACTTTTATGGAACTCCGAAGAGAAAGATCTACATAGAGCTGCCGCCTGAGGACGAAGCCAGCAAAGATGGACAGACCTGTGGACTTCTCGTGAAGTCAATGTACGGGACACAGGACGCTCCAAATATCTGGCAGACGCACTACACAGAGACTCTGCAGAAGGCTGGTTTCCGCAGAGGATTGTCGAATGCGTCAGTCTTCTACCAAGAAGCTTGGGACGTCAGAGTGATGGTGCATGGAGATGACTTCCTAGCACTCGGAGACGCCCAACACTTGGAGAAGCTCAGCCAAGTCCTCAAAGATGCCTATGGGCTGAAATGTCTCGGGATTCTTGGAGACGAGGATGGAGACCGAACAGAAGCCCATTTTCTGAATCGGTTGATCCGAGTCGAAAAGGAGAACGGCAAAGGATCGATTGTGATCGAAGCCGATCGGAGACATGTTGATCTTTTGATCCAGGCATTTGGCCTGGAAAAGGCAAACGGTGTGGAATCACCAGATGTCAAGAAGTCGGCAGATCAGCAGATGCTGGAAAGCCGCAGTCCGCTGCTTGATAAGAGCGAGGCATCGAAGTATCGTTCAGCTACGATGCGTGCTGCGTATCTGTCCCAAGATCGACTCGATATTGGACACGCAGTCAAGAACCTTGCTCGAGGTATGGTGTCGCCAACAGAAGCCAAACTTGCAGACTTGAAACGTCTCATCAGGTACTTGAAGAAATACCCTGATGTTGGGCAATGTTTTGGCTCACAGCAGGTACCCTCAAGACTGAGGGTCCAGGTCGACGCCGACCACGGTGGAGATGCTGTGACACGCAAGAGCACGACTGGCATGGTTGCCATTTATGGCACACACGTGCTGAAACACAGCAGTAACATCCAATCCACCATAGCCCTTTCGACAGGCGAGAGCGAATACTACGCACTTGTGAAGGGAGGATCTGTGGGCTTAGGCCTCCAAAGCCTATGCGCAGATCTTGGTTTGGAATTGGGAGTCATCATCGAGGGCGATTCCAACGCAGCCAAAGGAACTGTGAACCGAGTGGGTTTGGGTAAAGCCAGACACATCCAAACTCGCTACCTATGGTTGCAAGAAAGGGTTGCCGAAGGCCACTTGAAAGTGCACCACGTTCCAGGTGTCAAGAACAAAGCCGATGTGTTGACCAAATCGGTTCCTGGGGTGCAACTTCGCAAAACCATGGAGGACCTGCAGTATGCATTCCTCAGCAAGCGAAGCAAAGGACAGTTGGATGTTTTGGAGTAAGGTCCCTGGCCAAGCTCCACTACCACAACTGAAAGTGGCTCAGCAGCGGGAAGTTTCACCTACTTTCTTTACTTGCGCAGCAGTACAGTGCTTTGCAAGAGGAGGAGTGTTTGCATGTACAGCCCATAAATACTCCGCTAGAGTACTGCAGACACGTGACTCTTGACGTGTTTTGGCTCAAGGGAAAAAGGCGTTCCGAAACGTCGAAACTTCATTTTCACCCGCACCAACTAAGTCATTCTTGACATGTCACTCGCAATCCAAACACGCACTCGCATTAAACATCGGCTTTTTGATGCAAACACACCGTTTTAGGCTTCACATGCTTCTCCTTGGCATTCCAGGCTCAGGCTTGATCAAGCATTGGCCCATCGGACGCGCGAGGCCCCGACGGCGCCATGTTTTGTGAGAGCTGTTGTGTGGAGGCCCGGGTCGGGAGTGGGGCCGCACTGCCGGAGGCGCTGCCGTGTGCTCAGCTGGAAGTCCATGGAAGTCACCCCCCTCCCGGCGGCTGTCCAAACAGTCCCTGTCGCGGAGGAAGGGGGCATTGAGGGTCTTTGGTTTCCAAGAAGTCAATCTTGCCCGCGGAAGAACCAAGTCTGCAAAGTATATATGGGCCGGTAGTTTTGTTTTTCCCTGCTCATGCAACCCAAAGTGATACAGCCTCAACACTGGCACAGAGATGTGCAGAGTAAGTTGTCTTGCAGATGCGTTCCGTTTCGAGATCCAAGTTCAATATACAAGATTACAACACAAGTCGGTATAGGATTCAACAGCTGAAACATGCCAGCTGCCAAATTCATAAATCACAACTGACTGGCAAGTTAGTGCCAAAGAGCCCTTCAATAAAGGCTGGAGGTTTGCTTCGAAGTTGCTTCTGCTGGTTTCTAACATGTTTCAATCTTCATTGAGCTGCCCTTGCTTCGTGCAGTCTGGCACAGCCACCGAAGTGGGGGTGGACGAGCGGGTAGCATGGTGGCAAGTGGTGGAGATGGAGACTCTGCCTTGTGTGGTAGTTTGGGCATGGCAAAATGACAGTCGCATGAGCCAAGGCAGAGAAAGAGGGCCGCCTTGGAATTATATGATTCTTAGATGTTTCTTATCCTAGGAACAAGTGCATCGCTTCTAGTAACAAGTGCCTTACTAGTAGCAACAAGAAGCTACTAGGAGCAGAGGGCATCGCTACTAGTAACAAGTGCCTTACTAGTAGTAACAAGTGCCTTACTAGTAGTAACAAGAAGCTATTTATTTAGATTAACTTAATAATTCTAATAACTTTTTGTTACTACTAGTAAGGCACTTGTTACTACTAGCGTGGCACTTGTTACTACTAGTAACAAGAACGCTACCGTTCCTTTCTGATCCTTTCTGGTTTTTGCTCCATGACACGTCGATCCAGGATCCCTCTCCAGTTCAGTTTTGCGAGGAATCATCACCCAGATGAATCAGGTCACCCAAGCGGCTGGATACAGTCATTGCTTGTGCAGTGGTTTTAAAATTGAATTGTTGCACGAACACTGCCAATCAAGGAGTTTTGAAGTCCTTGTAAGGTGGTCTTGTTGCAAGTTTGCTGAGAAATCCTTTGTTCTTGTGTAAGAATCATTTTCGATCCAGTGATGTTGCGGATATGTGGTTCAGATTAGTATTTTCTACCTCGTCTACGCGGCGCAATGGTATAGACAGGACATGCCAGGTCTGCCAACTTCACTGAAAGCCAGGGCCATTGAGATATTGAGCCATTCAAGTGTTATTGTTTTGTTAATATCTCACATGAGCGGTGAAATTATGGTCGGAGAGCGTCCCTTTCACAAGAAGAGGGGGCTTCTGTAGCACGACTGTTAACTAAGACATCTCCGATGGACATCATTGAGTCACATCCTGGGAACTATGTCTACGACGTGCAGCTTGGTGCTGTTCCAAGGAGTTAGCGGTGTTTTGCCCCTAGTCTCGTCACGTGCGCCGGTAAAGAAGTCTCTCTTGCTTCAATGCTCCCTAGTTCAAAGGTGTGAAATGGCTACGAAGTATGGCTGAAATATGGGATGAAAGTCAACGACCTGTCGCGGACTAGTCTTGGCATTCCTCATTTCTTGAGGTCGAGAGGTCAGCATTTGAGCATTCAACACGGGCAAAGTATGAGGAGAACTGCGAAGAAAAGAACAAAAAACAATATATGATGCAGTTGTGCAGTAATTAGTCTAGCAATGTTGTGACACAGTGATGTGCGACACAGTGACACCAATTTTTGGAGCACCCAGGAAGTTGAGATGCAAACCCGAACAGCTCGACGAATGCTTCGACCGAGCGAACCCAGGGATGGTCATCGTCTCAAACACGCAGGGCGCGGTGGTCTCAGCGTGGAATGAGCCTCGGTCCATCTTGGTCCGGATTTAACGTGAGGATGGTGATGGACAAACACAACACATAATTATATAGATGTGGTGGCCAATTTGTTTCCATTTGTTCGATCCCCCATGTGCCCAGCCCTTCCAGGGCTCTTCGTGTGTGCTATGTCGATTTGCAGAGGGAAGGCGTTCTGGAGACTGAGAGGGAGTGGCTTACACTCAATAACCTGCATTGAAAGCATTAGTATCACGTTTAAGCCTGTTACCTACTAGCGATGGCCTCCAACCTAATAGCAATGGCCTCCAACCCTCCAACCAAATAGTGATGGCCTCAATATATCATAATCAGCAGTTCGGTCCATGCTCGCCTATGCTGAGGATAGCAATCCACCAAGCAGACAGATTGGGCTGCTTGGACACGGCACTCATCGGACAACGTTCACGTACGAGGGCATATATATATATATATATGAACCCGTGATTTAAGCATCTTGAATCTGTGAGCGTTGAGCCCGTTGAGCCACGATATCCTGCAAAAACAAGAGTGAAAAACGGTAGAAACAATGCAAAAATGCTGAGCAGAGTTAGGGCTAGTTCAGTGTTAGGCCCACGAGGAATTGGGGCAGAGAGTTGTTTGCTGTTCAGCTTCCATGTAACTTGACCAATTTGAGTCTAAGTTCCTGCCAGAGGTTTTGATTACGCATGAACTTCTTTCTCAAGGGAATCCAACAAATTCAATGATTTGATATGATGTGACAAAACCAATCCCTTTTCAGGCTAGTCCGGAGGAATAAAAAAGAACAAGCACACCAACAACCAATTTTCTCACACTAGCCCCAGCATACACAGACAGGACAAAAGTCAAAGTTGCTAAAAAGCTTGGAAACCCATGACTTGCAACCCTTTCCCCTTTAGAATCCCACAGGGGTTCACAGTGGAATTCCGGCGGAGTGATTTCCACCCCGCACAACATGTAGTTCAGGGTGGAATTGGTCCGCCGGAATTCCATTGGAAAAAAGACGTCATTAAATGAGAATCGTGAGGAAAGTTCTTAGCAACCTTTCTTCCTCCTGAAGTATGTAGGACGAACATAGTTTGCAAATCATTGTTTGTTGGTCTTGTTCTTTCTTTGATGGGGCTTGGTGGTCAAAAGAAACAAAGACCCTGACGAGGCAGCAGTCATGGTAGTAGTAGTAGTAGTAGTAGTAGCCGTCGTCGTCGTCGTCGTCGAGTAGTTATCGTATAGGAGTTTCAAAAACTGGTCAGTCTGGTCAGTCGTCATCATCGTACCCGTAGCTCTAGCATTGGCACTTTCACTAGCACTAGCAATAGCATGAAAATAATCCAAAGGAATTTTGACCAGAACTTTGTGAAAGTAAGGGCCGGAGACGCAATGATGTACAAATTAACACTAGTTTTCTTGTTTGGGGCAGGGTGATTTGCACTGAAAAACGTTCGATTCAGTAGCTGCAAGATCGTTCCATGGTGCCCTTTAGTCAGCGCCCGACCACGTGCACATAGTATATAACTATTACTCTATATATATATGCTGTATACTGCATACAGATTGGCAATAGTAACTGGGCGCTTGTGAAGAAGGTGCTGTTTTTGTTGACCCACACCTTGACACCCTGCCGTGCACTTCAGGATGTATGACAGGATCGTGAAAGTCGAGGGAGAGCTTGGTCAAGGCCAGAAGCACACCTTGGGGGTATTCAGACGGGTATCCACAAGTAGTAAAAAGAGATGACGGAGAGAATTAATGTGTGATCCAGCGAAACCATGACCGAGCCAAAAGGTGCTGGGGAGATCGGCTTCAACGTTGTGTTGTTGGTCACTGACATTTTTAGGGCCTCGCATGGTCTTGTCATTTCCAGTTGGCATTGTAGAATGGACGTGACGTAGACATGATATGACATGATTATACTCATTCATATTCATTCATATATAAGTATTTGTTGTGTGGAAGTGCCTGTGCAAGACGGGGTCCGAAGGAAAGTGTGAAAGGAAACTGAAACGTATGAAATTAGATCCTCTCGCGTGCCCCTCCAACCACAGGTCAAGCCGGAACACTGCCCAATCTTAGTGCATTGGTGGTTTGCAAGTTTGAATGTGCAACGGAGCAGGTCGGCCAAACCCAAAATACCTTCCCAAACCGTCCGTGCAGTGAAGGGTGAAGGAGAAGAGAAAAGATGTGTCTAGCAAGGATACCCGCATCAACTCACCAGTGTTCACTGTGTTCTCAAAGACCTGCTGAGAGGGCATCGACTTTTCGTTGGTGAGATGCTTTGGACCGAAGATGAAAACAGCATGTTTGATGGACCTCAGATGGCCTAAGTTTGTTCCATCACCGATCAAGGACTTCCTGAAGATGGTGACTTTTCCCATTGCCAAAACACTAAAACGAACCTGCACCCTGAGAGAGAACGAATTTACATCTAGAGGTCGAGGGTGTTGAACTTCCAAGTTCGTTCCTATCTCTCTCAGGTTGAAATCAAGTTAACCCACGCAGAAGAGTCTTTGCCCCTGATCAGGTGGAAAGGATATCATGAAAAAGATTGCTGCAAAGGCCATTGTCGCCGCCTGTTCTAGTGACCTTGTAGACGGTGCAGTTGGCCAACCATGGCAAGAAGACCTTTTTGAGTATATTTTAATTCTAATAGCTTCTTGTTACTACTAGTAAGGCACTTGTTACTACTAGCGTGGCACCTGTTACTACTGCATAGTCCATTTTTGTGTCATTGATGATCCGGACATGAGGTCCCATGCAGGGTTGACCTTCAGATTACTGCTTTCAGATGTGCCCTTATGCGATGTGAATGCTGGTCTCTTTCAGCGCCAGCCGTGTTGGGATTGACTTGCAGATCTTTCTTTGTTTTGGTTCCGGGTTTCGTTTGCTTTTGACCTGGTCCAGGGTTCCTCCATGAAGAAAGAATTATGTTAATAAGAGACCTGTCAAATCTGCCAACCCCGAAGATGACAAGGGAGACCAGGGAAGAGGCAAGTGGATGAACGCTGCATTTGTTGGGATCAATGTACCGGTTCTCAAACCAAGAGGGTGCACGTGAACTGGACATAACTGGAGTCCGTTCGCTCCATGACTCAGCTTCCTTCGACTTGGGAGTGCCGTTGGAATCCGCTTGTTGAGCGCCCTTTTTCAGGTGACCAATGGAGTGCAGGTCACCATGCAGCGGCCGCAAGAGCGGACGGTAACAGTCGAACGAACGGCGTTCCTTGGGATGAAAGAAGCGGACGAAGCGGTGGGGCAAGTCTGGCAAGTGCAGCCCAGCCAGCATCAGCCAGCAAGTTGTATTGATTTAGCGTCAAGAACTGTTCGAAAGCAGATATCATTGAACTTTCAGGTTCGGGTTCAGGTTCAATTATGCGTATTATTGCACTCTGAATCTGGGAAACGGCCTGTTTTCCTCTACAAATGTGTTCTTTATATCGATGTTGGTGCCTCATGCGCACACGGCTATTCTGCAGAAGCAGGTTGCCCCCAAGGCTGTTGGTTGAAGCCTTCTCTTCACTAACTGGATTCCCAACCCTAACTAAGACTCTCAAAGAACATGTGTTTGCCTTGCCCATAAGCTCCCATGAACCAATACAATATACCAGAGAGAAGGACTCGCAACGACGCCCGAGTTTGGGTTGCTCCCGGCCCGTTTCACGTCCGCTGAGGAGGCTCGGGATGAACCTCAACTACCGGAAGGGCACGCATGCTAAGCCCTGGATCTCCAGTATAGAGGCCGTCATTGAGCCCAATGCTCTCAAGAGACATGCCCATTGAATATGCATAGCATGCTAGAACTACCCTGTCGACTGGGAACAAGATGCCAATATGAGGTGAAGAATTTCCAGTGAGTGCTGAACTGAAGAATTTCCAGTGAGTAGGTCCAGTGCGGCTGGGTCAGGCTGTGCTTGTTGTGGCTTTGGCTGGAGCATGCTCCCAACAGAGGTTGACTGAAAAAATCATCCAAAACCACCTGAAAATCAGATGCGCCGGCATTTGTACGACACGCGTTGTTTCATGTTTTTTTCCATCCAACTGCTGTTGGCCTCGCAGGACGGCAATTGCCTCATCGATCAGTGGAACAAGGCTCGGCACCGTGATATTCCTCACTCGGTGGCGATGGCTCAAATCCATGAACTCGAAACAAGAAGCTACTAGGGGCTCCTGGCATCGCTACTAGGAGCAACAAGCTACTAGGGGCTCGCCGTACTACTAGGAGCAAGGACGCCACTCGGTGGGTCAACAGGATGGTGATCCTTCCATCCTTGTCGGTGTTCACATTTGACAACTTGTTTGGCTGCCAGTGGCTTATCCAAGTTTGACACATGTTGAAGCTGATAAATGCCCCAAAAAGGCCAGAGTGCACGGGCACTCTTTGGCCAGAGCCCATGATCAAATTGGCAGAGTGTCTCCCATTGTTCTATGACCTCGGCGGAGGTCGGAGTTTTTGCTTCCTTGGCCCGATGGTCGTTGTGTCTTTTTGGACTGTCGCTGGGATGAAAAAGAGTTAAGAAGCTACTAGGAACAAGTGCCTCGCTACTAGTAACAAGTGCCTTACTAGTAGTAACAAGAAGCTGTTAGAAACAAGTGCCACGCTAGTAGTAACAAGTGCCTTACTAGTAGTAACAAGAAGCCATTAGAAACAAGTTTGAAAAAAGGAAGGTAAGGCAATTTCATTCGTTCTCTGATGTGGTCGGCCGATGGGTGGAGACATCTGCGTACAACACTGAAACCGAGGTGGTTTTGGGGGCAGGACATATTCGGTTAGTTCATCCAACTGATTCGCCATGGTGCAACGGCGAAGCTGATCAGCAAAATTTATACTGTGCCTCACAGTAGCTGCCGCCAAAGCCAAAGACAGCAATATGGCTCGAGGCGCACCATGCTCCCTAGCTAGCCCACTCAGCCTTAGGCCGATTCGCGAGAGCCAAAATTATGGACATTCAGGGTCCCTTGAACAGCCTGGGAGCCTTAAAAGAGGTCACTTATAGAACCCTTTGGCCTTTAAATGCATTCTACAGCCCTTCGCCAAAACCCTTGATCCGCGCAGACTCATCCGACCCACTCGGTGGCAGTCAACGACCGGGTCATCTCCGTGAACGGATCGTCACTTGGCACATGGCGTTTTATGCATTGCTCATTGCTCGGTGGATATGTGGAACATCACCTCACTGGCCTGTGGCAATCAGGGGTAAGAAGAGAGTTGCAACAACTACTTGGTTGTTTAGGTTTGTGATTCTCGGCAAGATTTCAAGACAGTAGCAACTCAGTTCTAATCAAAGATTTTCCACTCCGAGAGAGGGACAAGGGAGAAACTTGCATGGTAGAGACTATATTTGTTGTGTCCATGTTTTGCACCGTTGAGTGAAGTGGTTTCCTATTCCGCCATATTCCGCCTATTTTCTTCTTTTGCGGAGCTTTGGGAGCCGATGCTGGGAATGCACCTCTAAGGTTTAGCGAAGGAAGTGGCACTCTGGTTATCACCACAGCTTCTCATAGACTGGGCCATTTAGCTTGGGATACATTTGAGGACAGGCCTTGAAGATGTCCTTCAAATCAGACAGACCGAACATACTTCGGTGGACACTCACGACTTGCCGATGTTGTCGTTTCGCCTAGGGCCCTCTCGGCAGTGGATACAGTGGAAACCTTGCGGACAGCCACTGGAACGTTGACCATTAAGTGACTCTGCCAGCACTTGGGACGAGAAACAAAGATGATGCAAACAGTACCAAAAAATGAGGTGACTGTGCACCCTTTGTTGTTGTTCTCTTGTTTGCATGCATCCTCACCTACCCACCATGTGCAGATATGGCAACCAGCATGCGCCAATAGCACTACGGAAAACATACCAAAAGTATCCAAAAGTGCTCGACGCATGTTTTTGCTCTAGAGGGAGTGTCCTGAGTGCTAAGCAGCGTCAACCATCTGAATCCAGTATTGAATTCACTGGTAAATACGGGTTTTTGCAGACATCACTGAAATGAGCTACAATGAGCACTAGCAAATGTGGTCCTACTCGAGGATTACTCTCACACACGACGTCAATATCAACAATTTGCTATTGACATCTATTGACATGATTGACAGTATTTGACATCTATGACTATATTATACTGTATTAATATTAGACCCTCGAAGTGCTGAATGCCCAAGATGGTTTGACATCGGAAAGCTGAGAATAGATCGCATGTGGTTTGACCCACCTAGGCCTCCACTCGCAATCCACCAATGTTCTTCCTCCTACTGCGCTTGCCCCATAAAGTGCACCAGCAGACATATATAAATATATATATATATTCGATCCGGATTGTGTTCAGATAGAGGCAAAGTGCTTTTCTCACCTCGTTAGCTCCTTGTTTTGTTTTGCTTTGGGGACCGCGCCTGTTCCGATGGCCTTCTCAGACCGCAAGGTTCGTTCATTTCGACTGAGCTGCCTAGCGAAAACGACGCGTAGACGAGTCGCCATCGCGCGCCAGTTCTTTCCGCATGTTTGACAGCACAGATCATGATGCACAGATCGTTTCACCGACTTGGTCCTGCACACTGCCAGAATGTTGTGCTTTTTGAACTTCAGAACTTTAAGGCCTTTAGGGAATGAATGACGGTTGATCCGTGCTGCCACTTCTCCTTCATCCCCCATTCTGGCCTGATGGGAGGCATGGACGGGCGGTGTAGTGAATGTAGAGTGCCTTTTCATCTTATGGTGACTGAACCAATTGAGTCCGTTTGGGAGTTTGGGCATGGCAAAGAAACGTCATGATAGTCATGAACAACCTTTGGGGGGGATTTCCTGTAGGACATCGGAAAGCAGTGCTGGCTGGTGTTGCCTACGGCATCCAGCTAGAGCCGTCCCTTGTGTCCAGGGAGCCGCTCAGCAAAAGTTGGGTTCAGACCGCGCCATGTCGACTCATGCCTATGTCTCATTGCACCAAGAAAGCAGGGACTGCGGGCACAAAGAATTGTGGAGGCCATTGCTAGTAGGTTAATTCTGTCATTGGTGTCCAGGACTTGGGCGTCGTTCGATGTGGGCGAAGTTCTTTGGATGGTCCCATAGAATCACGGAAATGAAGAAATCGTTGGTGTGTTGAAGTGATGAATGTCCTGTTAATATCCCAACGGCTGGGCAGGCCCCTTGGCCCTTGCCACGTGTTGACAGCCACTTTGACAGCCATGTGTACCCCACCAATATGCGGCCGATCCCACAGTCCTTGCCGACAAACGTTTCACGCATGTTGCCGATTGAACTGGGAGCCAGCGGATGTCTCACTGTGACAGTCAGGGAGATATACACGTGTGACGTGTGTATGTGTATGTGTATGTATATATATATATATCTCTGTGTGTGTTGTATTTTTATTTACATATATATATATATATTCATATATACACAAATGCACATATTTCATATGCTTTTTTGATAGGTAGATAGAGTGTGTGTGTGTGTGTCAACCCCTGTCCCTAAGGGTCCCACCTCAATGTCTTTTGATGCTTACTGTCAGCAGGGGGACATGGTGTGCGTATGTGTGCGTTCAGGGACCATGTCCAACGAAGCTACCTGACGCACGGGAAGCACTGAGAGACGTCTCGGTGTGTACCTGCTGAACTGTTTTCACAAGCTGTTACCCTGCTTCTCCACGGTTTGATTCGTGGTTGTTCACATGCTACCTCCCGTAAACCTCTCTTTTGCCGCGTTTCTTGCAGCTGAGCCGCGCTGATGTTCGCCACCGCAGACATGTCAACAGATTGTTCAAACAATACAGTTGCGCCGACTCCTTCACCTTGCCGTTCTCTTGCCCTTTTTCCATTTGGGAATTGAGTTAACTGAAAACCAATGTCGGAGTGTGTTGCATTTTGATTTACATATATATTCATATATACATAAAAGCACATATTTTTATATGTTTTTTTGATAGGTAGATAGAGCAGTTGTTTAGTTAGATCGGCAGATAGATAGATAGATAGATCGATTTAGATGGATGTTTTTTGAACACGTGCTTGTACTCTCCGGGGCTTCTACTGCAAGACTACAAGATGATAGAGTTGAAAGCGATAGGTTGGTGGTTCTCTGCCCGTGAGTTGACAAACCAATGTGTGCCTCGGCCTCCTTTTCATACCCAACTTGCCAGCTTAACCTGTAGGACATCGATATAGACTAGACCTACCATCACTGGTTGGCCCGACCATATATGCGTTGAACGTGAGCTCGTTGGCTCCACTCTGGCCACGCCAAAGGGCGAGGCCTGGCTCGGCTGGGCGATGACTGACTACGTTCAAGTGGTGAGGTTTTGGAACTAGTAACTGTAGCGATGCCCTTTGTTCCTAGTAGCGTCCTTGCTCCTAGTAGTAAGGCCAGGAACCCCGAACGTAGCGTCCTTGCTGATGAATTTGTTTGTGCTTCCGGATTGACGTTTTTGCACCGAAGGCCGAAGGCCAAGAAGAACGGGTGCTACAAGAAATCAAAAAGGCTAATTTCATCTAATTTCAATTCAATAGGACTTCAACACAAATCAGTCCAATCCAACCCGTTTTAAATTATATATCAATTTCTCGTTTGTGCAAGAGTGGCTATGTATAAACGTCGGACAATATATATTATAGTAAAGTTATATTAGTAAAACTCATATTGAGGTGCCATTCCCATGTCATTGTATCAAACTTGTCATGAATAGCCAATATCCGACAGGAGACGTTTCTTTTGTTGGCCAGACGTCTGAAAAGGATTGACTAGGGAATGGACGGATAGGGAGGTTGGAGGGAACTTGAAAAAAGGCGCAGTCAGCTCGAAATGGATCAGGAGAATGTGTTGGCAATTTGTGGGAAGCAGCTGGTGCTGCTAGTTTTTGCCTTTGTTTGCATTGGTAAGCATTTGCACATATATATATATACAGTAGATATTTATAGTTATTCCCCACCCGTAGGACTGTGGGGTTGTTAGATTTTTAGAACTTTGGACTTCAGTACGCCCGGTAGCCCAACTTAGCTCTTCCACAGCACACTGGCCAAAGTGACCCCTGAGTAGCTCAACTTAGCTCTTCCACAGCACACTGGCCAAAGTGATCCCTGAGTAGCGCAACTTAGCTCTTCCACAGCACACTGGCCAAAGTGATCCCTGAGTAGCGCAACGTAGCTCTTCCACAGCACATTTACCGAAGTGATCCCAGGATAGTTGTAGAGTTGTAATGTACTTATCAAGCCGTTTTTTGTTTTATTTTTTTTTTTCGGTGGCGGCTGTTGCCGTTGGCGCGGGCGAAGCTGCTGGCAGAGCACTTCACAACTTGCGTGTGGATGCTCAGATTTTTCCCCACCCGTAGGACTGTGGGTTTGTTAGATTTTTAGAACTTTGGACTTCAGCACGCCCGGTAGCCCAACTTAGCTCTTCCACAACACACTGGCCAAAGTGGTCCCTGAGTAGCGCAACTTAGCTCTTCCATAGCACATGGGCCAAAGTGGCACAGCACACTCACCAAAGTGGTCCCTGAGTAGCCCAAAGTAGCTCTTGCACAGCACACTGGCCAAAGTGGTCCCTGAGTAGCCCAACTTAGCTCTTCCATAGCACACTGACCAAAGTGGTCCCTAAGTAGCCCAACTTAGATCTTCCATAGCACACTGGCCAAAGAGGTCCCTGACTAGCGCAACTTAGCTTTTCCACAGCACACTGGCCAAAGTGGTCCCTGAGTAGCGCAACTTAGCTCTTCCACAGCATACTGGCCAAAGTGGTCCCTGAGTAGCGCAACTTAGCTCTTCCACAGCACACTGGCCAAAGTGGCCCCTGAGTAGCGCAACTTAGCTCTTCCACAGCACACTGGCCAAAGTGATCCCTGAGTAGCGCAACTTAGCTCTTCCACAGCGCACTCACCAAAGTGGTCCCTGTTCACCAAAGTAATCCCTGAGTAGTTCAACGTAGCTCTTTGACAGCACACTCACAAAAGTAATCTCTGACTAGTTCAACTTAACTCTTCCACAGCACGCTCGCCAAAGTGATCCTTGTTCACCAAAGTAATCCCTGAGTAGTTCAACGTAGCACTTCCACAGCACATTCACCAAAATGACCTCTAAGTATTGACGCCACATTCACCAATCTGATCGCTGAGTAGCTAAACCTAGCTTTTCCACAGCAAATTCACAAACTGATTTCTAAGTAGCTCATCTTAGCTCTTCCACAGCAACCACAGTTCTTAGTAGCGCAACTTAGCTTCTCCACAGCACATTTACCAAAGTGATTCCAAGGTGGTTGTAGAGTTGCAATGTACTTATCAAGCCAACAAAAGCTGCGTTTTTCTCACCCGTAGGCCTGTCGGTTGTTAGGTTTTTAGAACTTCGGACTTCAGTACGCCCGGTCGCCCAACTTAGCTCTTCTATAGCACACTCACGAAGTGGTCTCTGAGTAGCCCAACTTAGCTTTTCCACAGCACACTCACCAAAGTGGTCCCTGAGTAGCTTAGCCCTTCCACAGCACACTCACCAAAGTAGTCCGCGAGTAGCCCAACTTAGATCTTCCACGTTGACCAAAGTAATCCTTGAGAAGCCAAAAGTAGCTTTTCCACAGCACGTTCACCAAAGGAATCCCTGACTAGCCCAACTTAGCTCTTCCACACCACGCTCGCCAAAGTAATCCCTGAGTAGCCCAACTTAGATCTTCCACAGCACGTTGACCAAAGTAATCCTTGAGAAGCCCAAAGTAGCTTTTTCACAGCACGTTCACCAAAGGAATCCCTGACTAGCCCAACTTAGCCCTTCCACACCACACTCGCCAAAGTAATCCCTGAGTAGCCCAAAGCAGTTCTTCCATAGCACACTCACCAAAGTGATCCCTGAGTAGTTCAACGCAGCACTTCCACAGCATGTTCACCAAAGAGATCCCGGAGTAGCCCAAAGTAGCTCTTCCACAGCACGTTCCCCAGAGTGATCCCTGAGTATTCAAGCTAGCTTTTCCACAGCACGTTCACCAAGGTGATCTCTGAGTAGCCCAAAGTGGCTCTTTCACAGCACGCTCGCCAAACTGATCCCTGTTCACCAAAGTAATCCCTGAGTAATTCAACGTAGCACTTCCACAGCACATTCACCAAAATGACCTCTGAGTATTCACACCACATTCACCAAACTGATCCCTGAGTAGCTAAACCTAGCTGCCTAGCTCTTCCACAGCACATTCACAAACTGATTTCTAAGTAGTTCAACTTAGCTGGTCCACAGCAACCACAGTTTTTAGTAGCGCAACCTAGCTTCTCCACAGCACATTTACCAAAGAGATCGCAGGATAGTTGTAGACTTGTATTGTACGCAGTTTTTTCTCACCCGTAGGACTGTGGGGCTGTTAGATTTTAAGAACTTTGAACTTCAGTAGACTCGCTACTTCTGCACATCCACCAGAGTGGTCCCAGCGTAGCTCAGAGCAACCCAAAGAACACAGCACATCCACCAGAGTGGCCCACAGTGGCCCAGAGTAGCCCTTACACAGCACATCCACCAGAGTGGCCCCGAGTAGCCCGCGTAGCCTTTACGCCAGCACATTCA